CTCACTTTTTGCAATGTTTATTGAATGTTGCAAAAAGTGAGACTTTTATTTTTTGCAACGTTTATTAGACGTTGCGAAAAGTCACTTGCTGCAACGTTTATTAAACGTTGTGAAAATTTTTGTACTTTTTAAAATTATACATAGGCTGATAGAAACCCAAATTAACCCAAACCCTACTCTTCCCGTGCTTCCATATCTCTCTCCCTTCAACTGTGAAGCCACCAACACAATTCGCTCTCTTTTCCAAAATCAAAGAAATAGCCATCTTTGCCGCTTCCTATGGAGTGAGAAGAATATGTAACAATGGAGGTTTCGACATTTTCAGTTTCACATTCAAGCATTGCCCTGTTCAGTGCTTTTCGTAGAAACCACTCAAATTGGCACTTCAAATTCAAAAAATCGCCCAATTTTCGTAGATGCTTCATCGTGAAGAATGTGGCCAGTGAGAAACAGTAATTGATTTTGAAATGGAAAATGTAGATTTCCTCGTTGAGCTTTCGAAATCGCAGGATGCAGGCGCTCTTTTGAAGGCATCTCTTACTCTTTTATCTGTTGGCATTCACTCGACGATTGTTTCAGATGCCCTGCAGGAGGTTTCGATTAAAGTTGTTGATATTTTAACGGCTATGGCGATTCCTGTGGAGTTATTGGATCATGATTCATTGGTTAAGTCAACATCTACTTCTTTTAGCCCATGTTTGGCACGCATGAAAATTTTAATTTTCATTCTTCTACTCATTTTCAACTACACATTTTTCAGTAAAATAATATTTTTCATCACATCAATAACTTTTCTTTCTTTTTCAACTACACGTTCTCCATCAATCTATTATTCCAAAATACATTCTTCCAAAACAATATCCATCAAACACACACTGAAGGTTGTGTCTCAGTACTCTTCTCTTTTATCCCCATTAACTGTTGATGGTGTGCTTTCTGTAGTGGACCTTGCTGAGCCTAATTTAGTAGACTTCAAAGATATTAAGATTGTGAAATTAGGGATAGAACACTGATTTGTGCAATCAACAAACCCAAATAGATGTTTCGTGTTTTCTATTTAGGCATTTAAATTTGTGTGGTTAATCCATTTAAAAATAATAAAATTCCCCCAAATTCCGGGCTTAAAGTTTTTAGGGACGATGCAAGTGGGGTTATGTTACTACGATGACTAGAGCTTGCAAGGAGGAGAAAATGTGTCTTTTATTGAGAATTTACAATTGAATTCTTTAAAAGGACAGAGGTTAGATGATGAGTTTGTTGTCAACATGTATTATTATATTGAAATTTCTTGACATGCTTTTTGTAAGCAAGGCATCGATAGACTTTGAGATCATTACTCTTTCCTTTATACATGAAATTGTTCAGTGGAATTTGTTATTGTATCCGTGAAAGGAATTTATTATCCTTTGCAATTCAACATAATTTGGAGTGACATTCAAAGTGCATATCCAAGGAGTGTCCTAAAATGTAGTTTTTGTATTTCTAATTTATGGAGTGGGTGTTCAAATTCAATAGTTGGTGAGAATTGCTGATAAGTGATAGAAGAGTGAACATTGGATGATCAAGGTCTTATGTATCAGTCTAGGTGTTAGATATTCAACTTTGCATATTTTTCTTGGAATCATTTGTTCAGCGGATCTGTGATGTTGGTCTCTTTGATGATGTTGCAATTGTGTGGAATGAAAATCTTGATGTTAATTTTCCAAAACATGCTTGTAGTTTGGGTGAATGACAAGATGACACTGGGCAGAATAGTGATTATTCTGCAGGTTGAAACCAATTGACAAATACAGAGAAGAATGCAAGAGAAACACCAAAAGAAACGAGAAAATTCTTTATTATTAAACAACTGAACGAAAATAACCCACAAACCGGGTTAAATA